GGGGGGGGGGGGGGGGGGGGGGGGGGTGGGGGGGGGGGGGGGGGGGGGGGTGGCAAAACCTGCTCCGGAGCCGTCATAGCAACAGAGCCGAGGACAACACTGAGGGAGTGCTTCGCTGCGGGGAGGGGTTCTGAACCCGTCATTTTGGCCGGTGCTTTCATTATGTATCATTAATGTTTCGTGGGACAACGGGCTTGAGCCGAGCCGGGGGGGGGGGGTGGTACCTGTCATATGAGTGAATTACTTGGTGACCGGGGACTAGGTGAAGTCTATGCGTAACTCGCGAACGTCGGCCCAAGTAAACTTGCAGCGGGTTAAAGACCTCTGGTATCAGTCGAGCGGATCGCGTAATAATGGAACCCCTGGGAGGAGGAAGTTGAGAAAAAAGGGACACTGCGGACACCATGAGAAAGACTTACTATGACAGCATTTTATTTCGCCTCGGTACGCCCAATATTGAAAGCATATATTCACGAAGACGAAATCCATGAGAGAATGTTCAAAAAGTTTCGCAAATGTCGTTTGACTTGAAGTTTAATTTGCGTAAGTGTACAACAAAGACTTTTGCTGCGTTTGTTCGGTGACACATGTGGACACCAATTAGGAGGATTTACCCAGGGTCCTTTCAAGAACAAAAATTTCAAGTTTTGAAATATTGAGGGGATAATGCAAGTAAATTAAAAGCCGTTGAAAAGAGGGCGAACATCGAGATATACAAGAAAATAATTTGGGTAAAGTACTCGAAAAACCATACATCAACTAGTTCAGCATTGTTAAATACGAATATGTCATGTACGTATTTTTAGTATGATCGAATTTGCCCTCTGATCAATTACATATTTTGGTACCAAAAGTGAAAATAGTGAAACGTGGTATCGTATTCAGGAGGTAGTTCATATAGATTAGCAACTCGAGAAGTGACACATGAAGAATGCTGCACGCCTGAAAAATGAGTTAATACTTTCTAGGACCTCCGATTTACTTTTAATATTTTGAAGAACATTTTAGGAAATTTTACAGAAAATCTGCAAGCAAGAACAACTCACCAGAACCACTTTGAAATGCATGTGAAAATCTCGAACCCCGGAGGAAAATTACAATACGGACTTCGCTGAAGTTAACATTTCGTGGTCTGACATCTTAGGAGAACTTTTGATGGATTGTACATGCACTTGAGCTTCGCGAAGAGAACTTCAGAATTGGAATGCTGAATCGTGGTGGTTGTTCGCTTGTTCCGATTCTTCTGTGAAGTTTACATTTACGAGCATATCTGAATTAGAAATTTGTTGAAAAACATTTCGTTTTAAAAAATGCATGCTTTAAAAGATTAATTTTGTACCGTCAGTTTTTCCATCCTAAACACGGCATTTTTTTTATAGCCATGTGCATTAAAGAAATGTTACGTTTTCCAGGTCCACATCAAGATCTCATTGTAATAAGATCCAGCCGTATAAGTTGCATGACGAATTCATTACATAGAACGGAACCAGGATAATCGGAAAAAGATGAAACAAAATCACACTCATACAGTGATTTCAGCGAGAATTTATCGCAATTTTTGATGCAAGGATACATTTCATAGCTGTCGGAGTCAACGACACATGGCCACGATACGAGCTGCCCCTTGAAAAAGGTATGCGTGTTAATTATCCATACCAGGAACTTCAGAAGGGTGAACCTCATGCCCCCTTGACAGTAATGCCTCTGACAAGACGACAACGCTTTGTATGTAAATCAATCTTCCACCCGGGATATTCTAAACGACCGAGAATTTCGGGTCGATGGTCTTCTTCGAAAGATCATTAAGGTAACTTGTTTTCGAACACTCAGCATGACTTCGTCGGTTTCCATGCGGATTTTAATATTCATGGATGCGACTAATGAATTGAAGAACATACTGTACTTCAAAGCATAGATTCAAATAAGCTAACACTCATTTCTCCTTTACTTCAGCGACGTCCATGAAGTCACAGCTCCAAGACGTTCAAAAACACGAGTAGCAGGTTCATACCAGCATGACTTCAAAAGAGGGTGCTCCGATCACATCAAGACATTTTCGAAGACGGATTCCGAATGGCAGCAAAAGTGCCAGTCGAAAATGTGCATAATTTATTCAGCAAAACGAGAACACAAAACAAATGCAACGATCCCACGTGTACATTCTTTCACGAATAAGGGAGTGACTTCCAATAACGCGCACAATCGTGACTCGAGAATCACAGAAGGGCATCCAGTAAAATTCGATTCATCATCGTTGAATCAAATGGACATCGATCGACGAGCGTCAAGTGAAATACTGTACTGTATTGTACAGCATTGTATCTCATTTCCGTTGAATGCAGCACAGCAAACATGCCACCAAGCTCCGAACAAAGGAGACGAAAGGCGACACCTGGACAAGGCGCGCGCATTTGCACTTGGCGCGCCTTCTCCAGGTGTCGCCTCTGCTGTGTTGTGGTCATTAACTCTAATTACTCTAATTAAACTGCGGATAGTGTGCCAAAAAGCACAAAAGATTGCATTGTCATCAGTTTCTAAGCTATCCTGAAAGTTTTAGCTCGCTAGCTAGTCTGGAAGTGAGTTAAATTTGAGTTTCAAAATTTGATCCGGACAAACAGACAGACAGACAAGAAAGTGAGTTCATAAAAACGTGGTAAAAAAATGCAACGATCCCACGTGTACATTCTTTCACGAATAAGGGAGTGACTTCCAATAACGCGCACAATCGTGACTCAAGAATCACAGAAGGGCATCCAGTAAAATTCGATTCATCATCGTTGAATCAAATGGACATCGATCGACGAGCGTCAAGTGAAATACTGTACTGTATTGTACAGCATTGTATCTCATTTCCGTTGAATGCAGCACAGCAAACATGCCACCAAGCTCCGAACAAAGGAGACGAAAGGCGACACCTGGACAAGGCGCGCGCATTTGCACTTGGCGCGCCTTCTCCAGGTGTCGCCTCTGCTGTGTTGTGGTCATTAACTCTAATTACTCTAATTAAACTGCGGATAGTGTGCCAAAAAGCACAAAAGATTGCATTGTCATCAGTTTCTAAGCTATCCTGAAAGTTTCAGCTTGCTAGCTAGTCTGGAAGTGAGTGAAATTTGAGTTTCAAAATTTGATCCGGACAAACAGACAGACAAGAAAGTGAGTTCATAAAAACGTGGTAATAATAATAAAAATCGATGAAAAGACAAGCATCAAGTAGCATCACGCGATGGTAATTCGTCGTTCAGACAGTAAATTCTATTCGTTGCAAATTTTTATATGGTTAAAGAGTATTTTACCAGAGAAAAGCATAAAAAACTCTTCAATACAAAAAAAAATGCTGCCAATGAAGGATTTATTTCTGAAATTATTTCCCTTCATTCGACGAGTCTCTTATTGATAGAACACCCTGTGCATATCAGCTGTATTTTCGCGTAGCCTCAGAGCAGGTTTTTATCCACGCACTTCTCATTCTCTGCGCTTATTTTCTTCTCGTCGAAGGTTCGAGAGGGAGTTTAGTAATAAGGAAAAAAATCTGGCATATTTTTTTTCTGCCTGCATATATTTTCTTGACCTAAATGCAGCGGCAGGTGCGGGAAAGGAATGTGACAGTAAGCAACTGGCAGGAAATCACGATCATTTTCTTGGTGAACCGACCTCGAGAGGGAGTTCGAAAGCTGAACCAGCAGCTCTTGGAGTAGAAAACTTCACTGTATCCCCAATTCTTACGAAAAGGCTCTTACAAGTGCCATATTCTGTGAACTACTGTTCCGTATCCAGAAGAAAAAAAGTTGTACCCACATCACAAATCGCGAAAGTGATCATTTTCCAAGTGCTTTAGCAGAATAAAGCGACTACCAATTTTTCTCGAATATAAGATGCACAGCTACATTCTTTTGCTACAAAAACGAAATCCATTCATGCTTGCAGATTATAGACGAAATTGCACTTTAATAATCAGCAAATCGGTTACTCTGCAGTGAAAATGCCAAAAATCAAAAATGAGAAAGGAAATTGATATTATAAATATACAAAACAATATTATTTGAAATGAACTGCAGCGGGTGGCATGAGGATTTGCTTAAATCAATTTTATACAACTTTTGCTTCAAAGCCTTTACTTAGTCTATTGTTCTATTGTCTTTACCAAGTATTTGAGCAATCTAAGACACCGGCTTTTCTCGAGAGATTATTTAAAAAATCCTCCGGTACTTGGATTTAATTTTCAAAAAACTTCCAACCATTAACCAATAATCCGAACTTTATCAACGTGCCGAAAACTGATTTTCTTTTCAGGTTTTCGCGGGATTATAACTCAGAAGAAAAGAATATACAGTAATCTCCTGCGTCTGAACTTTAGCTCCATAGCATAAGAAGCACAAAATGGTAAGATAACACTACAGAATTCACAATTCAGAGACTCAATCATTGATTGAAACGTTTTCTTTCATTCATGCGAAACTTGACAACAGGATGACGAGCAGATTCAAAGTAAGTTATTCTCACAATTGATTGATTATCCTTGCACTTCTAGTCAAGGGCGTGGTATAATTGAGGAATGATAAATTCTTTTTTTTTTATACTCACAGTGCTGAAGAAGACTTTCGCCATGTTTGACAGCGGGAAAACTGGCCAAATCGACATGGACAAGATCAAGACGATTCTGAACACCCTCGGTCAGAACTTCGACGAGGACGAACTTGCGGCTTTGGTTGAAGAGAACGACACCGAAGGCGAGTTCACTTATTTTAACAACGAATAATGCTGCATTTTTCGCACAGTTTCAATACAATTCCACAAATTCACTTTAAAAAAACAACAGCCACCGGGAAATGCAATTTCGATTCGTTCGCCACCATCGTCGGACATTTTCTGGAGGAGGAGGATGCCGAAGCGATGCAACAGGAACTGAAGGAAGCCTTTCGTCTGTATGATAAAGAAGGTACTGGGAACCGGTTTTATTTTATTTTATTTCGCTTATTTTGCCCGACCAACAGAAACCCGGTCAACTTGTTCCTCGCAAAACTGGTTATGGTAAGTTTCAGCTTTGAAAATGACGCAGTATTGATTAGACCTAGCGTTATTATTTTCAGCATCATCCCAAAAATATTCTACCCACAGATGATCAGCCGGAATAGCGCAATGTTAAAAGATACATTTCTACGCTCGTTGAAAAACCAAAGCTCTTCTTAGTAATAATACACTCCTTTCATTATTTTGCAAGGGATCTGTGCAGAAGATTGCACAAAAAGATACTTCCCATCAAATTCCTGAAGCATCCAACGAAAATTCCAGTCCTGCTTCATGATTATTGTTTTTATCTGGAGATGAGGCGTGTCCCCTGAAAAATACTTCAGTCCATCCTCGGAATCTGATTTTTTGGGGAATCAGTCTTTGACCAAGATATATTGATGATCAATTTTAAAATCGCGATGAGGTTCGGTCGACATTTTTCTTGAAAACTGCGATCAAAAAATGTATCTTGAGTCTGAAATATAATGCCGTGCGTTGTCCAATCACCTTGGTTCCAGGGAGAAAATTTTGAAAATCAGATTCTATTTCATGTATGATTTTTTTTCATCTCGATTTTACGCAATGCATACATTTTCAAAATATTTTTAGGTAACGGCTACATCACAACCGCTGTCCTCCGCGAAATCCTCGGCGTCCTCGACGACAAGCTCACCCCGGATCAACTGGACGAAATGATTGACGAAATCGACACTGACGGTTCCGGGACTGTTGATTTCGAAGGTTAGTTGAAATTTCTCAACAAATTCTCCTTTCACTCGCCAAAATTTCAACACGAGTTTCAAATGCTTTCGCAGAATTCATGGAGATGATGACTGGAGAATGAAGATCCTACCTGACTTAGCCGTATTCTCGTCCGCATCGGATGATACAAACGATTTATGCGTGCGACAATAATTTCTCTTCCGCTCCCGACGTATCGTTGCAGTGGTCACCTTTTCGGAACAAATGTGTTTCACTTACATGATTTGCAAATTAAAAAAAAAAGAAAATAATACCAGCGGGATTTTGGACATCGAAACAAACCGGAAACTTTCATTCCATTCTCCATAAACGAGACAAAGATTTAAAAAAAAAGACCCCAACGGAAACAGATCGATCATCCGAGCCTAAATCAAATAGTTTATAATAAAAAATCCCTTCCGACACTCTCCCATGTTCCTTCCTCTTTAGGTGAATACAGGTTTCCTTCCTAAGGTCTACACTGAGTCCGACGCCTGTGGTCAAAAGGGGCGGGCGAATGAAGCAATTCTTCCTTCTTGTAGTGAACTGATCGCCAGAAGAACGAACCTGACCGCGAGTTTGCTTGGGAGGCAAAAAAACAAAAGCACTTCCAACGTAATACAGGATGAAACACGCACTTCAACTCAAGACCCGATAAAACGTGAACATTTCAGGGGGGTTATTTACGGCCACATTATGAAATTTGCTTCAAAGAAAGGTACAACATACAACGGAAAAATCCTTGCATCACCCCAACTCATTCTCTTAAAGAGAACATTTGGGACAAGGTTTCATGATGTGCCATCTCCGCGCGGGACAATTATTATTGTCTGCCAAATAATAGACGAGATGAAGATTGCGAAAAATCACCAGGAAAAATTAATAAAATGAATGAATCACACTGGGACATGTCCCGAACAGACCAAAAGTTCACTTACATCACCAGAAATGCTTAAGTAAACTCTTGAGATGAACATCGCCCCACCATGTCCCACCTTCCTTGAACGCAAATTTCATAATTAGTCGTTCACAAATCCCCCAAAAAATATTATCGTTTCGGGCGGTCAAGTTGGGCGTAATTCATTCTGTATTCGTGCAGAACAAGGCTTTATTGTTCTCCGAAATGTTCCGCGAAACCAAGAGTCTCCCGAATCAAGAGAAACTCGAGAAACCGACTTCTTCTTCATGGGTATACAGAAGCAAAAAAAAAAAAAAGGGGGGGGGGGGGGGGGGCT